GGGAAGCTAATCAACCAGAGCTAGAAACGGTGCAGCAAGATACTCGCCAAAACAATTTGTGTCAACGGATGTGCCGTTAGTAAAAGTAGTGGACCGTTTGAAGATTAACACAACGGCAAAATGCAATGTTACAAAATACTGAAAGAACGTTTTTTCCGGTGCACTGAAAATTCAAGGGTTCTATTACGCAAGGAAACCACTTCGTTCTATAATATGGTGCACACGCGTGAAAGCCACTTTAAATACGGAAAGCGTGCGGACATTTACAGTCAATAAGAGCTGAACAGATGAGGAACCAATCAGATGCACACGAAGATTACGAAGTGATGGTGATGGCATCAGATGCTGAATGCGAACTGATGGCAAAAACAACGATGACAACTAGCTAATAGGAATAGCGAAATGGTGCGTTAGGACAAACATCAGTGTACCATCATTGCAAAACAAAAGTCTGCAGTAGGGGGTGGCTACACAAGTTTACCTGTAGTTTATTTGCTCCGCTAACACTATCGATACCGTTCTGAAATGCATTTCCACGGGTTTTGATGTCCCAAACACATTGACCTGTTTTTAGCTGGTTAACTGACACCAATCGCAGCTTAAACTTACGCAGTGTACTACATGTTCTGATATCTCTTGGAAGTTTGTTCCAAATCTTAACGTAGTGGACTACAAGTAGTGAATTTTGGAATCGTGACCGGATCGGGTATCTGTTGCTTAAATACATATGAACGCTGACATCAGAACTGAGTATTTGATCGTTTATGATTGTGTAAACAAAAGATGGATCCAGCGTCATTCCCCGAAGGTATACTGGGTCAAATCTAACCTTATCACAACGCTGTTTGTATGTCATCTTTGACAATCAGCCGTATAACTTTCCGTGAAGCGTCGCTGGTCCCTCACAAGCTCATGTTGGTTAGATTATCGCAAATTCGATTGGATTCCATACAAGACAAAACTTTTGTGTTATAAAGCGAGGTTCTGTGAGAGAAAAATGATGGCATATGTATCCGATGATCTTCATGGTCTTCAAAACTTGAAAGTCACGTTCCTCTGAAAAAATTTGGCGACAGAATATCTCACGCCCAAGTCGCGAACTGCCCTGTACCGCGAGATGTATGTGCCTTGGCCTGGATGGACGTTGTCTATGTCACCCGCTACCTTGCATGTGCCCGCAGTTCAGTGCACTACGATTGAGTAGCTTGCTTCCATCACTGAAGAACACTGCGATGAGATGGGAATGAACATATTCAAAACAAACGCCTGCTTGTTTCCTCTACCCCGACTTTCAGTGTCCACTACTAACGTAAAAATAGATTCTAGCCTCTTAATTGCCCTTTGGGTTGAGCCGTACCTATGCGGGCTTACAACAATTGCTATCACTTATGCTCCAGCTCGCATGGTTACTATAGAGATGGCAGCTCAGCCTTGGGCCCCATCGCACTCGCATAACTTCGTCTACCTAATTAACTGAGATACGAGAGAAGTGGAAAACTCTAATCTCCTTGCCATCAGCTATCACCTATGCGGCTACGTATAACCTAAGTGCCACAATTGACCAAGACGTGCTATGTGGGATTGGATGTGATGATAGAGTGCAAAACACTACCCAATACACCAGTCTTTCAGCCAAGAAGACAAGTTAAAAATTATCGACAAAATACCCAAGGTATTGATAAACGCGCAATCCATCGGCTACCGACGCTAATTTTTAATCCTTTCCTTATTTGTCTGATGAGCTCAAGCTGTAGCACATAAAACCGCGTCCTTGAACATAACCGCTCATTACAAGGAAAATCTAAGAAACCTCACCGGTAGTATCCGGGCTAAAATCGCAATCGTCACACATCCAATGTCAAGACGATTCCACGCTACTAGACTACACCATGTTGGTGTTATCCATCGTACCTACAGGCATCACGACGACTCTGTCCCCCGGTACATTCAGTAGCAGTTAGTAGTCTACAGGGGTCGTGAATAGAAGTGGTGGTGCCGTTCACCTCACCGTTACCGCACGTAATCTGATATCAGTACACACTGTGCCCCAGGCTGGTGTTTTGCTACTATACTACCGCAAGCGCCTTGTCTCGCTTAGGATGCTGAAGGAGCCTAAAAATACGCTGGAGCGGAATTTTAGTCGGACGCGATGAGATTGCAACCCACGGATCTCCCTAGATACTTGGAGTTAACATATCACACAGGAGGTGCTGCAGAGGCGCAGCAAATCAGGGGCGGAGGGCGAACCGCCCCGTGCGGCATGTGACAGGGGGCGGCATTTTTATTACCGATGATTGTTCACTACGAAGTGTAAATTCACCAAAGTTACCTCCATGATGGAAGTGATAAAAATTCAAGGTGATAATCCTACTGAGACCGAAGATGAAATTAGTACTGCAAACGCTGATCTTCGGGAAACCTTGCTACTGATATTGGAAGCATGGAGGCAATGTGAAATGTCTGTGATGCCGATGCAGAAGATGCTCGCGAAGTGGAAGAATTGGAAGTGCAACCACACTTTGGCATGATAATACGTACCTGAGTCGATTTGATGAATGTCTATCAGTGGGCGGTTACCATTGACGATGACATTGTCACTATACTTGTCCGGCTCTGATTTATTGTGATTTATCGTGAATTCAATGTTGTGCTACCTGGAACGAAAACAAAGCTAAGGCTAAGAAGTTAACCATAAACTCGTTTTTTCGAGCGTTACGAGAAAACGAGCAAAGATTGCACTGTTTTGTTTCAGCTGCAGGAGGTTTTCAACTGAATAGTCTAGTTTTCGACCACTGAGTGTTTCAGAAACTGTTGGAAACTAAATCCAAAAGCAAATGAACACGAATCTGGTATATCGTGTGTTCGGTCATTCCTCAACAGCAAGGAGCTAGTATTCGGGCTAGTTGAAGGAACCCGATTGTAGGGAAGACGTAGCGTGAGATTTTGGCTAGAATACTTGATATCGCCAAATTTCCAGTCCAACAAAACAGGACACTGTGTGGTCTCCGAAACTCATCCAGGATGACGAAGACCATGAGAAGAGGATATTTTTCAGAACTTGTGCATTTGTTGGCCAATTCTAAGACTGTTCATCGTGAACGTTTGATGACAGTGCCACTGGAAAGAAAAAGCGGCAATTTTTCTTTATCTTCACGCGTGCAAAATGATTTAGTGATCATTTTGGTAAATCAGGTGAGAAAGAAAATCCTACATCAGATCACGGAAAGCCACTATTTTCCTTAATTTCTGAAGGCATTCCCGATGTATTTCACAAAAATCAGATAAGTGCGGAATGAAGTGATGGTAGAGGAGTCGTTTCTCAACTTCATTGCGAATAATAGTAAAGAGCAGCTGAAATTTCTGCATTTCTATTGAGAGAGGCAGACAAGCACGAAATTCAGTGGGCTACCAATCAGGTGTGAAGAGACCTCTAGAAATCTATCCAAAGCTAAAGTTTTGTCATGTACAAAGCGTTCACTGAATCTTGCTTGCGTCCATGAAGCGTCTGCGATGGTTCACCCTGTTACCATTTTAATAGGATAACCCGGCTATTTTCATCCTTTGTAAGTATGAATGCTGGTGGAATATTTTGATTCAAATCACCGGTCTAAGTAACAATTGGCTATACATTCTAGCTGGAGTAGCAGAACAGTCGCCGCAAACGACGTGATGAAGAAACACTTGGCACTCGTCACTTATCTGAAACACTTCACAGATTATTGAGAAAAATATAACAACATGCATCTTTAATTCTTACCTCGGTATTGTCATTACCGTTTATTTCGTTTGTGAGCCTTTGGAGATCTGTTCTCATATGAACTAAGCATGCACAGAAATGTCTAAACAAAAGGGGGCTTGATCTGCGGCAAAGTTTTGTCGCGCATCTAATGTTAACAGTTTTCTTTCTTCAGAACAGCGAGAAAATAGTTGACATTATAATGGAGGAAACAATGAAATACTGGACTGAGTTGGAGGTATGCACGGAATGTCGAATGTACCGAAAGAAACGAATGGACAGAGAAGAATTGATGTGTCGATGCGTTAAAATACGAAATGTTGTCTGTCATGAACAGTTTGACTGGAAACATGCTATAGCTTTCAGCAGATTCATGACCTTGCAAATAAATATGCTTTTTTAAAACCGTCCACTCTGATTGGTAATAAGTATGGAAGATATAGAAAAAGAATTCCTTGTCGCAAGGAGAAGATTGCGTTATTTTGTAAAAAAACTGGGAAAAGACGCAATTACTGGATCTTCAGAACTTTTGAACTTCACATAAAATATCACTTTTTGAATATGCTCTGTACCTTTCTTACTCGAAATATTAACATAAGCAACTGTGAAAGCTCGTTCTCAAATTTCAAGCTTATAACGAACTGTCTTCAATCATTAGTGAACCAGCCAAGGCTCACGAATCGACTGTTTTCCTCATAGAGACGTACTTCGCTAATGGTCCGAATTTAGTTGGTTTTATTATTGCCTTAATTAATACACGAAAAATGTATCTGTAAAGTTTGCTCATGAGTGTTGTAACCATACAAATACCAGAGGTTACGGTAGTACTGTAACTTTGCTTTTCGTAATCATATAAATGGAAACCTATAAGGTATGTTCGCAATTGTGTGGGTTTATGGATTTACAACTGCGTTACGTCGGCCTCTAGAAGCAAAATTTGTTGCTACGCCACTGAGATAGGGGGCTTCACACCGCGCTTCAGCTCACCCAGACACAACCTAATGAGGCGACGCAGCACTGAAGTCTTCATCCATACAGCAATTTATATACCTTATTTTACATTTCCCCTCAGAATTCCGACTTTCTATCTCTATTGCATATCTGTTTGTTGCTCATTTGGTTATTTACCTTGGCTTATCCCTAACGTGGTTTTGAGAGTCAACTGAACCGCAGATGCTCGTGACTTGATTGACCTTATTTTTGTCATTATTGCTCGTTCCTTTTCCTTCATGTAATTCCGCTGCTCTTAACCTTTTATCTGTAGCGTTCGGCTACGCGACCATATTCGGCAACGTCACCACTATTTTCCAAGGAATGTATGCCACTCGATCCCGCTACCACGATATGATGGGTTCTGTGAAAGACTTTATCAAAACGCATAGCGTACCAAAAGATCTTGCTGAGCGCGTCATTGACTACGTGACGTCTACATGGGCCATCACCAAGGGCATCGACACAGCTAAGGTGAGTGGTCAGCGTAGCCTCTCAGTGACCAATGAAAGCATTACCATGAAATCATGAAACATTTTCGTGCACTTACAGTCGTTGGATTATAAAAATACAGACATATACACTTGCAACAGTTCGCTGACAAGATACCTTCCGTAACTAATTGTGAATACGTTCATTACTCAAAATGCACAATCAGGAGGCTCAAAATTCACCCCTCTGTCGAGCTTCCCGAATCTGAGTGAGTTAAAGCGAAAACACTCTATCTGCAAAAATAAAGGGTAAAACCTGCTGTTTTTCTGTCTATTCTGAGTCCTACACTATTGCATCCGGACGCCTAATCATATGACTCGATACCCGGTCAGGGGCTTTTAAGGATACAATGGATAGCAAATGATTTGATGTGTACATCAGTATCAGAAACCACTGCAACTAATCTTCGCTACTTTAGTACAGCCATTATTTTTGATGCTCACTTCACAACTACTGAAACTGCCTGTTCTAGGTACTCAATTATTGCCCTAAGGATATGAAAGCCGATCTGTGTATTCACCTGAATCGTATGGTGTTCAACGAGCATCCGGCGTTCCGCTTGGCTAGTGACGGCTGTCTGAGAGCTCTGGCGGTGAACTTTAACACAATCCACACGGCCCCCGGGGATTTGATCTTTCATCAAGGAGAAAGCATCGATCAGCTGTGTTTCGTCGTCTCGGGGTCATTAGAGGTGATACAGGACGATGAAATTGTGGCATTTCTGGGTACGTCTTCGTTTGCTGTCTGATAAGAATTGCCTGCTAAATTTCGGATTCACGAACGGTTACAAATGTGTAACTCGCTGATAGTTTTCAAATGCAATCTCTCGCGTTCCTCTCAGGTCGAGGAGACGTGTTCGGGGAACCGTTTTGGAAGGACCCAAATCGAATGAGCCACTCAGCTGCAACCGTTCGTGCGCTGACTTACTGTGATCTACACTGTATAAAGAAGGATAGTTTACTACAGGTGTTGAGTTTCTACTCGGCGTTTTCGAACAGTTTTGCACGAAATCTCGTATTAACTTACGACCTGAAAACTAGAGTGAGTCTGCTGACTATGTCTCAACCAAATGTCCTTTTTTTGTTGGTAGTTGACAGAGTAAACACAAATTTATTCTGGACATAAGGTGAAATCCTAGGATGGTGAGAGGCGAAATGTTACTGATTCGCTTAATTATTGCAAACCTTCGTTTGACCATCGGCTGTGCTCATGTTACCGACAAACTCTACCTCAAATACGCCATTACCAAGCAAAGAAGTACAGTGGTATGCAAAATTTTGGGCGTTCATATTCAAGAATAATCTTATAGCAGGAAGAAATTTTGCATTGGTGCTTGCTGTTATATGAACCACAAGCTAAACAGAGCCTTACGCGTTCTAGGTATACTCTCGCTGTCTAAAGGCTTACTTTGCATGGTTAAGAATAAGTTGATTTAGTTAACAGTGTATTATAACATGTGGTTTAGGGGCCAGTCAGTATACATGACAAGTTTCGTAAAACAATGCCCCATCAATTCGTTAACCGTGCTTAATTTTATGTTTGTGCAGCTGATTTTCCGTAAGCTAGCGGACGTGAAACGGGAGTACGAGTTGGCGGAACACCGTAACAATGACAATCCTCTCTCCGGCCTCCGAGCGGATCATCCGGTTCGTCGTATGATACATCGCTTTCGTATGATTGGTGCACACGCCCAAACGATAAACGGTTCCTCGAGCGGGGGCGCTACGGATCCGGATCCCAAAGGAAACAGACTACCCACTTCATTAAGTGCGGCTGACAATGGAGATGCAACGGAGATGCATAAAACCAACTCACGGAGAGGTTCACTCACAAACTCCGCTCCATCCGGTGAATTCGGAGCCAATCATGCAACGAAACTTGACGGAATCACATCCAAGTGGAGCAAGCGTATAAGCCTACAGCGCAGCCCACTGAGTGGTACGGAAGATGAAGATACCAACCTGGGAATCACACACCGAGCAGTGGAATCAGAAAGAGCGAATGCTCCCATCAGATCTAAACTTCAGTCCCGCTGGGGTAGGTTACTGACCCCAGCTCCGATCAAGGAGGAGTCAGAGAAGGATGAAACAACCTCGCACAAGTCGTCAAATCAGTCTATTGAATGGAAGAAATTACCATCTGATACTGGCAAGGGAATGGGCTACGGTACGTCTTCTGGCGAGGGCAAGAAGGAAATAGAGGCAGTGTCGAACCAGCAAATCCTGACGTGCATGCTTCAAATGCAGTCAGAACTTACAACTGAGTTGAACACCCTAATGAAAAGGATGGACCAAGTTGATTCACGAATTGGTGAACTTCTGTCGACCGTGCGTAGTGATCCCGGAGTAACACTCGGACAAGTCAATGGCGCGTATTCTGAGTCACAAGCAAAATTGGGTGAGTGTGAGAACAGAAGGGTCAGTACCCATCACAAATCACCCCGTGTGGGGCACAACAATCGTGTTTATCCAGCCAAGCAGTCGTATATCATTTCAACCGCAGTCCCATCCAACAGAAAAAAGACACCCAGCCCCTTGGTCAAGCTCCAGACGCGTGTTTTTGGGGGTATCAGGCAGAAAAAGTTTGTACCCATGCCATACCGAGTCAGTCCAGAAGAGGAATCATGGCATTCAAATATGAGGTCATACCTCGGTGGAGATAGCATCACGCGATACCACTGTCAGCACCCGACAGAAACGGACACGTCTTCTTTCGCAGCTGAGAGCCAATCTTCCACCTCAACACCACTTCAAGGCTTCGACGCACGCTCCGTCTCACAAATTTCAAACGATCTTTCAAGTGACGTGGATGTGGCTGATCCCTGCTTTAACCCTCAGCAAATTTCCGCCGTTATTGATAGCAACCAGAGGATGACTAGAGAGCGAAGCAGTGATAGTCTGTTCCATGACCCTTTATTGTTAGAAGATGCGTCTCATCCTGACTACGTCACCCGTAGCAGATTCATCAACGCAACAAACACAAAATCCATGGCCTCGACACCCCTGAACAACCCATCATTTGAAATACCACGTGTCCATTGTGATAGTTTAGGAACTCCCAACCAGTCTATAAAGCCATCGGTCGTTTTTCCTTTAGACACTTGTTCTGGAGTAGCAACTGTGCATCTCTTGACACAGCAAAGTGTATGTTCTTCATTAACAAGTGCACAAATGGATGTGCACCCAGTTCAACTTAGTTCCGTCACCCCTTTGTCTATTGTGGGCTCTGTAGTTCGGTTTCCCCAGTGGTGGCCAAATCTTCAACACAGGCTAGATCACTCAGAAGACCAATGCAGCTTGACCAAATACACATTCGCACATTCCAAACCGCAGGTGGCTAGCCAGCCTAGCTCTTCTACAACTTCTTCAACGAAACCTTTTCAGTATACTGACCCGAAGTGCTGAAGTGCATTGTCAATAAATGTTCAGATGTTTAACTAAAGCCGTTTATGCCTCACCATTTTCTTAAAATTCACGGGATGCTTCAATGCACAAGTTTAAGTTCAATTGGGAAGGGAACCGCAAGATAATTCCGTCAATGTTCCTTCCTCTTTATGTCGTTGAACAAGTAAATAAACGACAATTTGGAATATGGATAACATAAAACAGTGATGGCGTCACACCCCGGTCAACCAGTTGCTGTCCACATGTCGTGCCCAGCGGTCCCTGCCAAGCTGAATGCGTGAAGTAGGAAAGCAATTGGTAAACTCAGAAAGCAGGAGGAATAGTGTCAAGCAAATAATGATAGTACCAAGGCATGAGAGGAAATGAAAAAGGAACGGGGAAAATGGGAAGTTACAAGTCAGTTATGAGAAGGAGTAGGTTTAGCATTTACACCCAAATGCACCTGACGCTCGATACTCTCAACCGTATATTCCCTAACATGCTCAGGAAGCGAATTCCCGCACTCAACAACGCGGCGCCCAAAGCAACTTTTTGTTCCAACCCGGTCGGGATGCGGAGAGTAGGCAGCGTAGAAAGACTAAATAGTCAAGACAAGTTTACTCCGACCTTACCCTTTAGAATGTGCTAAGTGAGGATCAAGTCCCTTTGAATTCTCCGATAATGCATTGAGTACATTTGCAGACATGACAAATGTTCCAGATACATTCGTCTTCGTAAACCCTGCACTAACCTAGTGCCCACTTGAGGAACCCACTTCAGTTCCATTTTGTCGCGCGCAAGACGTGGTAGACATACCTGGATACAGTATTTCAAGGAGGGTCGTACAAAAGCTGCGAATAACTTTTCAAACATTCGGCCTTTAGGAACCCGAAGAAACGGCGAATAAACTGCGTAATACGGAACCATTTACAGGCACCGTCCTTCCAAATGTCTCAGGAGTGAATGGCCAAAGTGTGGAAGACACTCAGATTAACTTGCTGAATGACAATAGGGATTTCACTTTGGCCAACAACATATCGTTTATGGGGACTAGCGGCTGAGAATAATGGACTTCAACCGTAAGGTTGACCAATCCTATAGCCTATCTGAGGCACACTAAAGTGACCCGTAACCTTCAGGGATGTCTACAATATTCCAGAGCTTGAGGTCGTTAGCAAATATTAAAGAAGATACTTCATGAGCCTCAGGAAAATCATTTCCATAAAATGACAAATAGTAGCTGCCCCCAAAATCGAACCCAGCGGAACACAGCTACGAACAGGTTGCCTAGGTGACAGGCTTTACTCCACACACGCACAATGTTCTCTCCCATCTAGTAAAACGGACACCCATTTAACAGCGCCACCAGATATCCAGTAAAACCTCAACCTTAGTGACAGGTGTGAGTGTATGACATTGTACGAAGCCTAAGAAATGTCATCGAAAAGCACGCCAATAGCAAGACGGTTGTTCGGTACCTCAGCTCAGCTAGCACAAGTTACAAGTAATTTTGACGTGTAAAAAGTCTTTATGGGATCCGTGTTGCACAGCAGTGAGGTGGTTTTCCACCGAATCCTTCACAAGTTTTCCAAACAACTTGAGTACTGCGCTTGTCAAACTGACATGCTGATAATTCGCTAGTAGATTACTATCCCCGCTCTCAAAAATTGGACAGATGATAGTTTCCTTCAATTCCGAAGAAAAGGCAGCGCTGTCAAGCGATTTTCCAAACACGCATGCAGAAGGCCCACTTAATTCAGCGGCGACTCCATACAACAGCTTCGGATGGCTTGAATCAGGTCCAGAAGCTTTAGAAGGATTTCGCCCTTGTAGAGACTTGAATCTCAATTAAACTAATTGCAGTTAAGCAGGAACCTTCAAGAACTCCTGGGACCAGCTTAGTTTGTAATAAAGAGGTCTCATGAGAAAAGACACATGTATACTGTTAGCTAGGTATACATGTCTTGTCATAGTCGGTATGCACACGCGTCCCGTCCACTCGACGCAACCCTAGTATGGATGAGTTTGCACCACTGCGACACTTCGCGTAAGCAAAGAAGGTCTTGGAATTAGCTGCGGTCGAGTAACCTAACATTCCCGTTTTGAAGACGAGCAGTCCTTAGATTTTGCTTATATTGTTTTCTAACATGCATTTCCGAGTCAAGTTAGTTACTAGAGGAAACAAATTGGTTCGTAAGCTTTTTCAACTTGGTTCGTAAGCATTTTCAAGTTGGTGCGTTTCAAGGTTTGGCTTAGGTGCACACGCGCACCGTCGAGTAGCTTCCTCATTGGTCAGACGCCGTCGGCCAACTGGATGCCGTGTTTCACCATAGAGCAGGTGTTGTCAAACTTTTCGGCACGTGCATCCTTCTGTAGTGTAACCTAGTACGACGGACCCCTGAGCTTTTCTTATCCACAGAACTAGGCTTTAATAACATAAGAATGAGGTGGAGTTTATCGCTGTACACTGAATTTGCACAGCTGTTCATTTATGTTGGCAAAAGTGAAGGCTGTTGGACTTACATGGACATGCAACTATATTAAGGCTGAATACCTTGGATAAAAGTCGTTCCGACATGCAGCGCTGATTTGTTTGATGCTAGGACTTATTGAGGAAAGCCATTACCTCGTATATCGTTACGCTTCAGATTTGTTTCGGTACTTTGTTTTGTATAGATATAATGCGAGAATGCAATCTCACGCAGCTAAGTTGTGGCAGATGGGAGAAGCACGGTGATAGCTGTCTACCATGACAAGGTACGCATCGTTCGCTTTACACCAGAAATCACACAGAGACAGTCTGTGAAAAGCTTTTTGTAAGGAAGAGTCTAAGGTTATCTCCATGCATTTTGTATGCATGGCTGGATACGTTTCTCAGTTCTGTTGCCGGCGCATTACGATAACTAAGTATGTAAGATGCTTCCGTAGCTCTCTTTTTTTACAGCCTACGACGCATGAAGCATGTACGTTTGGGTGTTCAATATTTCATCTCGCATGCGTTGTAAGTACTTTTTCTGTCTTTACAGTCCATATGGATTTGTCAAAATGCCGCTGCATTTTAATAGGCACAATGTTCAGAAGAACTTTGTTACACAAGTCAACTTGTGGACAATTATTGGACTCCATAAATCCAAAACGAAGATAAATGTTGTTGTATTTCCGTCTCTTACGCACTGGTACAGAGGATCCGGTTGGCACAGACTTATACTGCATCAAATCAGGTAGTACGGAAACATCGCACGTCTCAGTTGCTGCATGCTCAGTAGACTCATTAGATGACCCAGCTACTACTAACCAAGAAACTGGACGAAGGATATTCCTGTGAGACATTTAGCGGTATTCCATTCTTCATTTCATGGTCCTGTTAATGTTACATGTCTAACTACCACAATGGACATAAATAATTAAACACACGGTTTCAAAACCCACCAGGAATTTGGTTGGTATGATAAGTTGGTCTTTGAAAGAAGTGAAGAAGTGAACAAAACAGCTACCCTATTGTAACGTCGCTGAGGAAGTTTCCCTTGAATTTGCGGAATCTGATGAGCACATTCGTCAAACACATAAATATCCACGCTTTCCCTCTGAGCTGCAAACTAGCCTCTCCTTCCGGTTTGCTTATTTCGGGGAGTGATAACACTTGAAATGACCGCAAATTTGGACCCTGTCGTATGGCATACTTCTCGCTGCCCGTCGAGGGACATAGCATGGGTTATGTGAGTTTGAGCGAACGTAGAATGACCCATCCAGCTACTGCCCATGGCATCAAGGCGAAATAACCACACGGCCTTTCTGAACTTGGAAAGCCTCGTTCGCTCGAAGTTTAACTCCCTACGAAAGCAAGCTTCCTCGTTGTATGGGGTATGTTTCAATAGGCAATGCACAAGGCTATAAAGTAAACCGTTAGATTTGATTTAAAGATTTTCACAGCATGTTTGTCAAAAAGTCGTGAAGTAGCTTGATCGCGTCCATAAAATTTCCTAATAGAATCGTAACACTTTGGGAGATCATGCGGATTCCCTGAAAGTAGCCCACGGACCTCCTGGGCATCCGCGGACCACCGTTTGAGAAACAATACTACAGCGATTATTATACGCATAAATTATGCCCATTCAGACATGAAGAGAACAATTTGGGAGATATCCCTTTTCGATATATATCCTCAGGTGCTACAATTATGAAGCAGCTAACTAAAACTTGAAAAAACCTATTGCTAGCTATATATAAGGACAAGAACATCAGCTGATAGGGGAAACAGTAAAACTGGGAACTTCTTATGTACAGCAATAAATAACGGATTCAAGCGAGTCACGATGGACCGGTGACCTTGAGGTCTGCTAACATACGTGAGGGCCAGTTCAGAATTAGCACTTGCACGGGACCTCACTGCTTGCATAATTCCGTCTGAAGGCGTCCGATAGCGACAGCTTCAATTATAGTCAGGAAGCGCCATTTGAGTTCATTGTGCATAGCTAAGGGACAACTAGGAGAACCCTAAAATGAGTCTTTAACACGGCACTGATACCCCGTGGAGATCAGATACTCACAGCTACGATGACCGCAGCGAAATAATCCTTCTGACTGAATAACAGTGTGAAGGAATAAATGTGAAAATGCAAGCTGATAATATAATGGCACAACCAATGACGAGAGTGCTTGACAAGTCTCTATTTTGTTGGGGTGCAAGCGAAAAGCACTATAGCGTTTCCCGAAAACCTGCATAAAAATTCCAAAACTCTGCACAGAATGCGCATAATTTTGCAAAAAGTTCAAACGCTTGAAAAGAAGGGCAAAAATGTTGCAAAACCCTGCGCGATTTGCCAGCCGCTCAGAGCCAATCCTCTGATCTTAGGCGTGTTCTCATTGGCCGTATGCCAAGGTTCGGTGCGTTAGTCTGGGGAGGTGAGTCCGCTGCCCATTGACTGGGTGAGACTTGTGAATGAACCTTAGAAGCATGCACTTCAGCGGTGCAACGGGCTTGTATGCGCTCCCCTCACGTTCTAAACGGTGGATCACAAGTGGTATGAGAGCACATAAGCACACCCATCGCAATGAGGCTGGACCTTACCGTG